GAATGTTGTATTCACTGTTTCATTGAAGCTTTCAGTACAAGAATACTGACTGAGTATCTGTGGTGCATTCTTCGCTTGCAAGCAAATAAACAGAACAAGACAACTTTGAAACTTTTGAAGACTTTATTGATTTATGAACAAAACTCTCTTCTCCCGATTAACATAGAAATCTTCCATCACAATAAGTAACTCAACGTTTGGCTCATTATAATTACGCAGATCATGTTACTGAAGAACGAAGTTACGTGACTGAAGTAATTCAATGTGGATCTCTGGTTCCACAGGGGACACGAACAGCGGTCTACTGGATGAAAGTGTCATGTTTTTTGACTGATTACATGGATCATAAATTAATGTGCATTGCTTTTCATAGGTTGTGCATACAGTGTAGGAGAAGAGCCTGAAATAACAGCATGATTCAACTCTTGGAGGCTTGTAAATATACAGTATTTAGCACCGAATGTTTCAAAGTGTCATGACACCAGGTTATAACTGAGCCCACATAATCCACCAAATCATGTCCCTGGTGCATTGTAACTATGACTTACTAATGCTGCAGGACAGCAGCTATTCTGGTATTCTAGTGATACCATTGCTCATTCTGCTACCACACCAACTACGGCCATACTACCACTACTGCTACCACTTACCATTACTCTTCATCAGCATGAACACTTGTTATAGCTGTGACAAACATGATTAACATTAACATATACAATGTTTCTTGACCAGACCTGCTCCTTCTTGAAAGGCACCTCGATGGTCAGAAGGTTCCCTATGCTGTCAAAGGCAACCAGTGGGTCGGCTTTGACAACCAGAGGAGCTATGATGCCAAGGTACAGTCGGCAACATGACTTTGTGGAGGAAAAGAGCAAATGTTTCAACAAGTCTCTTCACAAGAGCTTTATTGAGTTCCCTCTGATTGTCTTAAAGGTGAACTATCTGAAGAGCAGGCAGATGGGAGGAGCTGCTGTGTGGACTTTGGATATGGATGACTTTAATGGACAGTTATGTGAACAGGGCACATATCCACTGATGTCACATCTAAAATGTAAACTCAGTGAAGGTGAGGTTGCACCATCTTACACTTTCTGTACTCCAGGGCATAATTCAAGTCCCAGACATGCAGGCATTTCGAGAGCCCATGGCTCAAAGGTCCATGTTTTGAAATTCTCTCCTATCCCATTAATCACTCTCCTGACCCCAAGACTGGGAACCACTGTTGGGATCCTGTAGCATACTGCAAAAAAATCTGGTAAAAAAATATATATTAATTATCACTCTGACAGCCCGCGGGCGGGCCGTCAGAGTGATAACTGCATATTTGTGTTATGCACACAACTGCCCTGTAACATGAGTATTAATGTGATATCTCATTAGAAAGCTACGGTTCTTGTAATTCGATTTATGCAAACCATTTCAAGATACAATAACAACAGCAGGTACAGTTAACGTCTCTGTCAAACAAGCACTCCAAAAATAGCCGATAAAATATCGCCCTGACTCACCGATTATGATTCATAACCTCCCCCTTGTGCATGCTAGTCCAGCAAAAATGGTCTTGCTAGGTGGCTAAGGGTCCACTCGATCAAATCCAGTAAAAGATTTAGTCCAAAACACATTAGTACGTCCATAAAGACCCACAGGGGGCTGTTGCATCATTTCAAATTAGCCAGCAGATATGATAACTCGCGATCATATTTCGGGCATAACTTCACATTCCGTGTAAACAGAGCGGAGATTTTCATCGCAAAATGGAGCCTGCATTCCGCCGGTTAGATTGACACCTCATTTGACCCAATAGGAGCTTCTGTAGCCCGGCCACAGTCTGGAACAGCCAATGAGAGTCCGCTTTGAAAGACAATGCCCGCCTCACTTCTTTGGGTATAGCTCGAGCCAATCGCAACAGATCCAGTTCAAACTCAGGCTCCATATAGCCAATGAAATTACGAAGCCAAGGATATGCAGATTTATCAGATTGAATGCTGGGAAAGTTTTCTAACCTGAACTGGAAACCATGAGTCAAGTTCCTGGGACAGAGTATGAAGACTAAAGTCTGGTTCATGAGAATTGTCAAGAATCTGTGAAAGTTGATAATGTTTAAATATGATATAGTTAACCATACATTGACATAAATAAACTGTAGTTTGATTTTTGAACACATAGTATATGTGTTTTGACATGGTGACACGAGCCTCGAAATGCGTTTTTACGTGGCCGCTCTCTTAGTAAACCATGTGTGAAATATTAATTTTCTGTGGTATTGTTATCAAATTTTAACTTATACTAGGTGTCATGACTGTTAGCTGTTGAAGGAGAGTCTTTTCAAGCCTGTAAGTCCCAGCCATAGATAGCTGCTGCCATCTGTTGGCCAAAACAAATCTAGGCGGAAATAAAATGCTTCTCTTTCACTGTGCTGAAAACACATTAGCTCAATACTAGTAGCACTTACAGTGATTCTGACTGATTGTGAAGAAACTTCAGAGTGTTGCCGTTCAATGAAGACTAAAACCATACATGTACTCCCAATGGTTCAATAAGAGCTGTCAGTTTACCTTGGGTATGCGGTTGATAGGCGTTTTAGGCAAATTATGCAGGAGTGAGAAGAGGTTTTAAATTTCTTTAGCATTTTGCTATGAATAAATTAATATCAGTGTTCAGTAACATGACATGTACAGTGCATGGTGAAATATTCCTTAATGATGCTTTTAGAAGGTTTTCTATTTAATGTAATTAAATGAGAGGTGATCAATATGATATTCATAACATATCTATTCCTCCATGTGGCTCTCAACACAATGAAGGCTGCGACGTCTGCCCCGGCGGCTAGCAGCTAAGTTGCTTACAGCGCTAACAGTGCAAACAATTGCAACAGCGCTGACAGAGCCAGCAGCGTTAACCTGAGGGGTAACCGGAGGGTTGGGTATTACGCTTCCATAATGATGTCCTGGGTCAGGGCGCTATTATTACCCGTAAACGCTGTATGAGAGCAGTGTAGCTGACCAACTAAAGGCAAGCACGGATGGTCTGGCTATGTTAACAAAGCATAGAGAAGCGCTGATTACAACACACACAGATAGAGTGACTTCTTTCTCTGCTCAGGTAGACGTTACTCCACTGTGTCTTTACATTACAAATAGTTGTTAGCTGCTATATTAACGCTCTGAATGTCGTACAGAGAACCTTTAAAGAATGGACATAACAAAAACTGAATAGAAAGTAAAATCAGAAAATTGGAAAAGATGCAAAGCAAAGCCTTCTTTGCCTCTAATCTATGTTCTTATACCTCATCTAGCATCATTGCTTACTTAAATGGGCAGTTTAGGGGTTTAGTATTGCACTTCTATAAGGTTGGGGGTCTCACAAGGGACAGGTGACAAAAATGTTACAAATCAAAGCAGCAGAGATCCAGACTCGTCCATAGAATGGGCCAAGCGCCAAAAACTCTGGATCCTACATTTACCATAATGCAAGTATGAAACAAATACTATATTTCCATTAGACCCTCCCTTCTTGTGAAAAATTACCCCAGACTTTCAAAGTCCAATTACCAAGACAAGTCTTCATAACCACAGACAGAGATTGTACAAGAGTGTTTACAGTACAGCTCATGATGCGTAAACAGAATTTCATGTATAAAATTGGTTGTACGTTCTTCTGTGTTGAACATAATTGTGAGATTTCTTACAATGTTGTTCAATATCTTTTTCCTAGACTTGACAACACAGGAAACAACTCATGCGGTACCTCTCCCCACAACCTCCTCTTCTCCTTCTGACGGCCCCCAACCCACAAAGGAGCCCTTCACAACAGCCAGCCGCACCACAGCAATACCAGACAGCAGCTGCTTCCAGAACATTACTGTTGTGTATCCCTTCAGCAGCTTCAGATGTGTGCAGAGGAAGACATACGTCACAAAGTGCCACACTCTGGGAACAGAACATAGCAGTGGAGTGACAATCAGACCATCAAAGGATTCAGTTATAGTTGGCTTTGTGACAGCCACTCTATTTATTTCGTTAAGTGTGTGGAGTTCAGATGATTTGGTTTTGTACGGACAGTAAGTAAAGCTCCTGGTTAACCATGAAAGAAAAAAAAAGGTATGAGAATATGAACCTTTTAAAGCTGCCAGTCAGGCCCAATGAGGCAAATATCATACAGTTAAGATAAGACAAGTAAGTATTTTCATATAGAGTTCAGACCCATGGCCATGTATACAGTAGCAGTCATCAATTGTCATGGGGCAATAAAGAAAAAAACCCTGAAAAACACAAGCTATATATGATAACAAAATACAGTGTGTTAAAGTGTAAACCTGCGATTGCGATTTTTCAGTTATATAGCTTCTTCAGATATGGAGTTATGGACATCACTTATGGGATTTTTAAACCACGGTGTGAGAAAGTCAGGAAGGTTAAAACAGGTATTAGTATTAAATTACACCTTTATCGATCAATATTCTTGATATTAAGATTTGTATTAAATGCTTTAAGCTTTTAGCCTCTTTTAGCTCATTGTTTTGATCTTACAGTACTCTGTCTGTATGGTTCACTGCTCTCATTAACCTCAACAGACAGTAAAAACACAGTGTAAAGAACTGCACTAAGGACCAAATGGCTCATTGACAAAGGCCACTTAGGACAATAAATAAAACAATAAATTAAGTTATGCAGCTTCAACTCCATTGTTTCAAGCGTAAATTGCTGATTTCTTAACTTTGTTATTTTTGCTGGTAATCATTTGCCTGACATCATATTACTCTCCCCGGACCAACTTTACCAGCTCCATCAGTAAGAGATCCAACGCAGAGCAGCTACTAGCTGATGTAAACGAGGATGATAAAGAAAGACAATTTAATTTTAGGGTGGATTTTTCCTTTAACGTGATGACGCCAATGGCTTACGCTCTCACGCACAGAAACACCGAAATGCTTCTTGGGAAATTAAGTTATACGTGAACGTACCGCCTTTTCACAGAAAGGTCTAACGAGACAACGTGTACTTCATTTCCCACAATTCCTGGAGCCGCACTTCCTGGTTTGATAACACGTAGCGTCACTTCTCAAAGAGAGCTTCAGAGTAGCAAACTAGCGACAAACGACGACTTTTACGGACTTATTTAATACACTTACGATTGTTGGTCACTCGCGTTTATTAACTTCGATGATAATGAAGCCAGAGCGCCGAGTATCGCTGTGTTTGGCCTCATATGTAGGCTAAGCTTTGTTATCAAGCTAATATTGCCATGACTAGTTAGCAAATAATTGTGTTGTTTACATATTTTTTTCAAGATGTATACGTTATTATCTGGATTATATAAGTACATGTTCCAAAAGGACGAATACTGTGTTTTGATCCTGGGACTGGACAACGCTGGGAAAACGGTAAATTACATTATGAGTTGAATTTATAACAACTGGGTTAACGTTAACGTGTTCGTCCACACTAACATCATTGTCGATTGTGTTATTATCTGTGTGGTGCTGCTTTCATCCCTATGTGGCTTTGTCAGCTCTCGTTTTCTTTGAGTGAGAGGACTGCGGCCAAGTGAGCCCTCGTTTGCAAAAACCCGAATCCGATCAAGCCGGTTGCGTTGTGTTGCGTGTCTATTGGTAGCTTTACGGTACCGGTGCTTGCCTTGAAGAGGCCAAAGAGAGTGCTGCAGAGATGACGTATTTTTGTAGGCTAACCCGGAAGAACAAAAAGCCAATGGGATGTTTCTTTTGGATTATTGCAGAAAATAACCAATACTTTTATCCAATGTAAAGCACTTTTATGATTTTTGATTTATGAATGCATTTGACGCAAAAAATATTAATTGAAGGAAAAAGTTAATGTAAGAAAAAAAACTACCGACGGTCGCTTGACATCACACCACTAAGCTAAAAACGGAATAGTGTGATGACATTTAGTCTCATTTTGCCACTTGTCAGCAACCGCTTTTTCCAAGACACGGAAAAGACTCAACATTTTAAGAGTTTGGTATTGACTGATGTATTTCATGTCGTAGAACATAACATTAAAATCTCTTTAAGTTTGTACTAGCCACAAATCTTATTTCAGGCATCTAACCAATAACTCATCCAGAAAACCCATTTCATCGAAACAAGGGAATTGAAAGTGCAAATATACAAATTCCTCATTTATACTGAAGTGGGTAAACTTCTGCAGAGTCGCAGAGATGGTTGCACCTCCTGAAATATGTGACTAAGCTCCAGGCCCTGTGGAACGTCAGAAGTTTGATTGGACATCAGAGACGCGAGATGGGTTTTCATTTCAATGTAATTTATTTAGTATAGCCCAAAATCACAAATTTACTTCAGAGGGCTTTACAATCTGTAAACATCCGACATCCTCTGTCCCGGGACCCCTCACAACAGAACAGGAAAAACTCCCCAATTACAGCAACAACCACCTTATAAATCCTTGGCACCGGAACTCCACCTCATCATCCAACTCGTCCATATTTTATTTCCAGCCATAGAAATGTGCTTGGACAACCTTTTATGGAACTATTGAATCACGTCTATCTTTTTATTATCGTCTGTCATTTATCAAATTATTACGTGCTACACTCAACACACTATGTATGCCTGGCGTGCATGAGACCTGCCCGCACCATCCCGCACATGATACATAGGCGCATTGCAGCAGGAGTATAACGCAGGCTTAACTCATCTCCAGGTATTAGGACTCATTCCTGCTGCACTCTCTATAGAGTGCTGCAGACATGTAGTTGTGTAGTTGACATGTAGTTGTGGTTGAAAAGTCCAGCAGAGACTCCCAGTGAAACAAAACAAAAGCCAAGCTGTTTCAGTTGCTGTGTTGCACCAACTTCATCAAGCAGACGGCGAGCTACGAGAAGCCTTTGGTGCCATGGGACCTCAGTTGCTCCTGCAGCTGAGGTGTTTTGCTTCAATCCATCAAGTGCTCCTCATTTTGGAGGGATATGGAATCGAGAAGTACCGTAAATGACCTCCTCAATGGTCATAGTGGTCTCTGGAGAACTGGATTCCTTTGACAATTTCAGCAAATCAAGAAGGACATTTAGAGAGGTCCAATATGAAGAGATATGCTATGTGTTGTGACTTTGTGATTACTTTCCCTTTAGTCTTCTTAAATTGTATAGTGAAATAACTTAAAGTGGATTAATTTACCTTAAAAAAAGGCACTCTTTAGCACAATAGCTTCACATTTTATATAACATATTGAAAAGTAATACATATCTAACTACGAACCCATTGTAAATGTCAGGAAGCCTGTGTAAATGCCTTCCATGTTATCATTACCATATTTCATCTCACGAGGTTTGTGAACTGAGAGACTTCATTGCTGTTTCAGCGAGTCACTATACGTCCTTTTTGGCCATTCCCAGCACCGGTACCGTAATTGCGTGAATAGACAAATCTGTCTCAATTCATTTTGAGTTATAAAATGAATGCACGTGATATGAATAAATCAATGAATATGTAAAAGAAAAATTATACAATGAGATCATTTACAACTTTTTGTTGCAATCATAATGTTTTATTTATTTATCACATTTAATTATGGAAATGTAATTCATCTTTTAATTGGGATGACTAGCATGTACTTTGGGACAGTTTGTGGGGTTGAAAACAGCTGGAGTCCTGATCACCTACTGTATGCCTGTTAGCTCATTATCATGTGAGTCATTGAATACAAACAGTCTGTTAATTTCACTGCTGTCTCTCTTTGCAGACCTTTCTGGAACAAACCAAAACCAAGTTCAGTAAGAACTATAAGGGAATGAACCTCTCAAAGATCACAACCACAGTTGGGCTGAACAGTAAGTGAACAGTACTGCATGTCTTCACTTGTGCTTGTCATGTAGAGTAATGGGCCTGTTAGTCGAAACACTGACCACCCTGGATGGATCACTTTGTAAGCTGAGTGCACAATAGTTGCGTTCCCCTCCACCTGTTTTTTATGCACAAGTTCAATTTATGCATAAAAACCTGAGTGGTAAAGCTGAAAATAGAAAAATTAAAATCTTGAAATGTATTTATTGCATTAATTCAGTGGAATGGAAACTTGTCAGCACTCCACACGGATCCGATGTAACCTTTCTCACATTGATGCATGAAGCAATCACAAATGCTATATTTCCGTCAAGTGTTCTACTTTTTCTGTCACAGTTTGATGTTCGACTGGCGTTCTTTTAATGACCTCATCTTAGGGCTGGGCCATATGGCCAAAACCTTCTATCTCGATATCGTTCATTTCATATGTCGAGAATATATATCAAAGGGCAAACCTTATTTTTGTATATTCCTGTGTGAATTAAATACTAGGCTAATGAAAAATATATAAGTATTTTATGATTGAATTGTGAGCTTAAGTGCAAATTGATCTGAGAGGTTACTCAGTATGTGCTTGTTATAAATTTAGACAGCGTAATTGTGTGTCACGACATCTTGATATATGATTCCAATGAAAGATGATAAGTTAACATTGAATTATCGCCAGCTGCTAATAATCACATGGCGTTAGTGGATAGAAATGTGCATTCATTGGCATATTTCTTTGCCGATTTTCTTGAAATTTGGTTAGAATTTGCAATGAAATTGAAGGGAACCTGGCTAATGACTACTTGTTGCCAAGGTCCACTGAATAGTGATACATAAAGGAGGTTATTTTCAGTGGCTAACTGCAGTGATTCTTTATCATTTGCTACGATAATCAATACTTTCTGAACAAACTCAATCCAGATCTTTTTCATTCTTCTTCACTTCTTCACTCTGTGGTCATCTGACACTGCTTGTCTTATGATTTACAGTATGTGTTTGATTCTACAATATAACACTTTTGAATAATGTCTCACTTTCCCTCACAGTTGGCACCATCGATGTGGGCAAAGCTCGTCTGATGTTCTGGGATCTGGGAGGTCAGGATGAGCTCCAGTCTCTGTGGGACAAAGTGAGTGAAGGATGAAACACATCAGCCTCATACTGACACACAGGCACCTGTGTCTCCTCCAGAGTGGAGGAATATCCACTAAGATAGAATTACTTCATAACGTAATGTGTATGTAGTTTCAAAAACCGGGTTCTACCTTTGTTACTATGTAACTGCCCAAACCGAAGGCATGTCCAGTGATCAGTTCAAAAAATAAATAATTAGAAATATGTAACTACAATGAATTAGTATATTAAGGCTAATATAAGGCCACAGTTAAGAAAACATGTGTGTGTATATATACATATATATATTTATTTATATTCATATTTATTTATTTATTTATCAATGAATCTCTCTAGTAGAGCAAAGAGCCTGCATACTTGCAATCCTAAGGCAGAGGGCCGTTAACAAAAACAACAGCAGCAAAAGAAATGTCAGCAAACGTCTTTATTAACTTGCAGTACACATATGCACATACTTTATATTTGTTCTATTAGTCGTCACCCTCTCCTGCAGGATTATTTTCTCCAAAATTGTCCTAATCACATTGAGAAAATGATGAAAAGAGAAACTGTTATCAAAAATGTTAACACAAGGATGCAAACTTAGAAGATTGACACATTTCTGTGACAGCAACAATAACGCATGAGAAGGATCTACTGGTTGTCTTGTCAGTAAAGGCTTTGTACAGGATGAGAGCTAATGTAACTGTAACCTTAAGTACAAGATGGTCAAATGGAGATATTACAAATGGACTAATGTCTTAATTCCAAGCTACAGTTGCTGAATGTTTGTCCGTCGTTCTCCCCTCAGCTGGATGAACTGAGCCGTTTGCTCCTGGCTCCCTAAAACAAAATGTAGAGTTAGTTTTATTTCACACCACAAAACAAAAGTAGCAAAATAACCAAGTTGAGTTTATCCGTGTAGTTAATTTCAACGTTTGAAACGTTACCGGACTTTGAAAGTGATATTTCAGGTCGACAGCCTGTCTACCTGAGCTCCTGTTGGTCCGTTTATAGACATAATATAAAGTATAAACCATCTGTGAAATCGTCACAATCTCAGTCAGATATTAGTCGATCTTTTGAAAGTGAAGGCATTAAAAGTTACTTTCCAAGGCCAACTACGGTTGGATGCAGGCAGACGAGCTGCCGCTAACGTTAGCTAGCTTGTCAGCTCACGTAACTTAACTGACCATTTAAACAAACATGTGATGTTATAATCTCCCGGTAATAGAGCAGCAGCTGCCGGTAACGTTAGCTAGCTCGTCTGCTATGAACGTCACGTAACTTAACCGGTCATTTTAACAAACGTGATGTTATTAGGTTCCTTGTTTTTTGTTTTAACATTCATATCGGTGATATTCGAGTGAGTTGAAACCCAATACTTAGATTTAAAAGTGAATACTGTGCTTCTCCAGCTGTTGCTTCATGTTGAATACAATAAAAAAAATCTTCATCGACGCTCAATGCATCTTGGGATATGGTGGGCCGCGAAGGATACATCAGTTGTGTCCTCCGAATCTGGGGGCTGGAGGCTGCATGAAGGTGTCTTCGAAGTGGTACAGCCTAATCGCATCTGCTGTCTCCAAACCAGTCTCCAAACGCAGCCTCCGAAGGATGCAGCCGCTGAATTGGGACACAGCTATGATCACCTGTAGTGGTTGATTTTCGATGTCGATGATGATGATCAGCTTCTTTGACTTTATGACTGATGTTAAAACATTAGACCTTACGGCTGGCTCAGTAACTTCTCTATCTGACTCGTGGTGAGACACCACAGGATCTCACTATTAGGAACTCAGGAACGAACACCCACAGAACAAGAGAGATTGGATTTCCTTCAGTTCACAGTTTATTTGCATCACAAAGTATATAAGTAAACCGAGTCAACTAACCTCACAATAGAAATGTACATCACTTTATACCCTCATTCTGCCCTAAGTCTTGGTCTCCCACATTTCCTGCTCCGCTCTAAACTTTTACTCAAACAGAGGATACTGGATTTAGATATTTGAGTAGTCACAGTCTTCTTCCCCACTCGCCTTCCTCTGATGTCACATCTGGCCGCAGGTCAAAATGACGAGCGCTCGTCATCCCCTGTGAAAACCTAAAATGACTACAGGCTCCAAGGCCGCTGGGCTTACTCCCCGACTTGATGCGTCTAAAACAGAGAGACGGTTGACAAGCAAATCCTCCCGTTGATGAGTTTGGTTTGTGCATATCTACATTTAGCTGAGTTGTGCATATTTTTGTACAATGAAACCTAGACTGCCTAATCCTGATCCCTTGGCCGGTCTTTCACCCTCTAACAGAGCATCCTGGTACCCCTCACCCTTGTGAAGCCGCTGCCGTACAGAATGGTTGAGGCGGTCAAAAGAGCACAACCACCCTGTCTGTGATGTGAATATATGACAATGATACAGGCCCATATCACAGTATGAATGTGAATATACATGAATACATTTCAAACAATGAATATGATTTTAGACATATATTTTAAGACACGCATACATTTTTCTCCCACAGGCTTACGCATAGCGGAGATAATTCAATCTTGGAATCTCCGACTTTTTCCTGACTATGACCCAAATACTACGAAGTTGTACTCCTAGCTTCTCCTTCAGCCGTCGTACCAAAAGATACCTGAAGGGTATCATTGTAGTTTTGACAATGTGTTGGTCTTTTTGGCCCAGGAGGCTGCTCTGATATCACTTTGTCTTCTTCATGTGTATGTTCAGTACTATGCTGAGTCCCATGGAGTCATCTACGTGATCGATTCAACTGACGAGGAGCGCCTGTCAGAATCCAAGGAGGCCTTCGGTGAGTGACGTTCTGACTTTATTCCACTAACATCATGACATCGTGGCTCCGGTGTTGAAGAGCAGATTACTTGAATTCAAATGAACACTTGACGTCATAACATAAGATGTTTGCTAATTGTTGACCCAATCATGTGACTGTGGTCTCCTCCAGAGAAAATGATCAGCAGTGAGATGTTAGAAGGTGTTCCGCTCCTCGTGCTGGCCAACAAGCAGGACGTCCCGGTACTGTGATCTTTTTAACTCACTGAGACCCTGTTCAGGTTAATGCAGACTTATTTTAAAACCTTTTATTAAGAACCTGGTTTGAGTCATGTATCAAGCAAAAACTGCCAAAAATTCTCTGGTTCCAGCGTTTCAGGTGTATGCACTTGCTGCTTCTTGCTTTTTTATTTCATTGTAAATTTAAAATCTTAAGTTTTGAACTGTTTGTTGGACTGTACAAACAATTGGAAGGCTTCAGGGCTCGGCCTGAGTCGCCCTGTTATAAGATATAAAACTATATTTGAGATAATGATCGTGTTTCTTCACAGTTTTGTCGTTTCTGTTGCAGCCTTCAGTCGTGTCTTCTTTCTGCTCTGTTCTCAGGACTGTTTGTCCGTGCCGGACATTAAAACAGCCTTCAGTGACTCGGCCCCGAAGATCGGCAAGCGAGATTGTTTAGTCCAGCCTTGTACTGCCTTGACAGGGTAAGACTGCTACTGAATGGTCCACTGAGTGTGTGCAATGACAGCGACCTGTCAAATAATCCAGTACAGTAGCCTGTAAGGAACACTTCCTTTGTGAAGCTCCTGATGTTCAGTTTCTGAAGTAGAAGCTGGTCAAAGTTAGTATTTGTTGTGCTGCTTCTGAGATACATGTAGGCATGATGAAAAATACTCAAGTCGAAATGGACCCTTCCTAAGTCCCGCCCCTTTTTGCTCTGTGCTCCAGTAACAGCTGAGCTAGCTTGGAAGCTGGCGGAACCTCAGTCAACTTTCCCCTTCCCTGTTAAACTTAGATATGCGCCGCCCGTTCAAAGCTTACATTACTATGTAATTCACATTACATGTCACAATCTTGACGGACACTTTACATTGTATACCTCTTAAGTTAGCTAATGTTAGCAAAGCGCCAGCTAACATTAAAGGGATTTGGAAAAGGACAGTTAGCTTTTCTGACTGCATACAGACACAAAATGAAACATTGCTACTGTATCAATGTCGAGATATTCGAAAGTAAAAGTCCAATATTTGTACATATAAATAGCTACACTTCTGAATACTTGAAGTGCTATATGTAACCAATACATTCTGACTGCAAACATGCTGAAAATCAAACATTTTTACTGCATCAATATAGAGATTTTCCAAAGTAAAAGTCTATAGTTTTTACAGGTTTTAGTGGTTTAAAAAAAAAAGTGAAAGAAATTGTAACATGGAATCGCAATACTTATGGGTTCGCCCCCAGTAAACTTCTGTTGAACTTTGATGAGGCAGTTGGTAGAAGAAGAACCCACGCAGCTCATTATTCTTTATCAGCTGTGCACGCTCCACTGTATCACACCACCAGCTTGATCTAAGCTCTTTTTCCTTTTGGTGTACTTGGTCTGAAGAAATAAGTACTGAGTGACTTCTTTGTTTTGACACAGGGATGGAGTGAACGAAGGCATCGACTGGATGGTGAAGTGTGTGGTCCGGAACATTCACCGGCCGCCCAGACAGAAGGACATCACGTAGTCACGAGCGCTGCTTCCACTGACTTTGGACTGAGTTTCTCCTTGAGGACATTCCATGTAAACCCTGGAGTTGATACTCTCCCCTCTCTCCTCGTGTTTTGAACAGTTTGAATTTCGGCATTTTAGGGGTTCATTACAGACATATTTCTTTATCACAAAGCATAATTTTAGATGTGCTTTGAATGGACTCTGTTTGACTTTTGGAAGCAGTGTCACGACTTCCTCTGCTTCACGTGGGGCAGCGGTCTCTGGAGCTGGCAGGGGTGTGACTATGTCTGACGGACACTCGCCCCTGAAGCAAAGAAGCATCGGCTCTCACGTGAAATATACAAAACTGTAACGGGGGTTCTCTGTTAACGCTATCAGATCAACTCAACAATATTTAGCTCACATTTTTAAAGTCAAAGTCAAATTTGCATCCTCCACACTTTATGTGTAAAGAAATATATACCAACAAGGATACTATTGTGCACATTAAGGACAAACCCTTTTCTAACATGTTGGTGTGAAACGGCTTCAGGGCTGTGGTTGGGCCGATTCCTTGCCAACCACAGGAATAGAATAGGAGCAGAGCGGACATTGAGATGTTTCCCATGGTCAAAAAACTAAATGAGTCCACCAAAAGTCACCAGAACAGAGTCCTCTTCACAGCCTTGTTGTGTGTAACTTAACGTTAACAGTTTACTTCTGCCCGTTGTATTCACGCTTCAAAGTGCTGTTTATTGCTGAAGATTATCTTGCTGAACAAAACATGTATCATAAATGTTTGTTTGCCGCAGAGTTTATTATCTGCAATAATCCAAAATCCAATGGCTATTTGTGGAGGAACCAGTCTGACGTTAACTTCCTGTTAGAACTACGAAAATACATCATCCCTGCAGCTCTGTATGGTTCGTCTGTCCCTGTACAACATTCAGTGTTTGGGAGGATCCATGGTCCTGTTGAGTTTGTGAATTATGAAATCATAAATGGAACGAAGCAAATGTGAAAAACAGGGTGAACTGTCTGTGTGGTACTGATACAGCACAGATCAACTTACTGACAGACGGAACAATTCATGCTCCCTGTAACCAGAATAAAACACATTTCTTCTTTTAAAATAGAAAATGTAATTTCACTTCGACTTTAAGGTTTGAACTCTCCGATCTGCACACTGCCCCTCAGACCGGAAGCATTCACTACTTTTCTAACTTTGCTGGTTTTCATGTTGTTTCTAACCCTAACCTTATGTTATTCACATAACTATCATACTACAATGTCATGATGGATAAATGAGAAGAAATAACTCGAGTGGTAAGGCTTTGTCACATTGTTCCATGACTTTTACTTTGACGGGGTTTCCTGTAGGCAGCTGTGTAGTGTTGAGTTAAAATCCAAATAATGTGAGCTAAAATTGTTCGAGTCCAACTCCGTGAAAAGGAGAAGAAACTATTAACGGTTATTTTTGTATCCTCTCTTTTTTGGGTTGCATAATTGTACCCCTTGGACAATGCGACTCATTGGAGCTCCACGCTACAGGTCCACCGATAGGTTCCTAGAGCTTGAAATAATATCGATAGTCTGGAGCAGGAAAAACTTTGACTTTGGGAATATTAATGTTCATAATTGGACACTACAGCTGGGTAACAGGGCAGGATGTCTGTCACAGACTGCTGCATCACTTTATACCAGCAGCGTAACTTGGGATGTAGGAAGTTGTTATACAAACCACTGTGTCCTCTGTCTCATATGTGGTAGATGACAATAATAAACTTCTAATTTCAAAGACACAAATTCTCATGTTTCAATTTGACATGTTCTGCAAACACACAACACATGTTGGAATAAGCACTGAAGGGTTCAAAGGAACTCACGTATATTTTAACTACAAGAGGAGAGAGAGTCAGGGAGGGGTGTCCCTCAGGAAGCTGTGTGTGTTTTTATAGCTCTCCGAGGACAAAGAAACCACATCCGCTGAGTTTCTGTGCTGCGTGCACAAGAAGGCTGACGGCTCAGCAGGTCATGACTTCCTTTCTGCTCCATTTGATGTGCAACAAGCTCTACACGTCTTTGTGTGATCAGCCCCTTACACACACACACACACAAGAAAAATGATTAACTAAGTATCGCAAGCATTTGTTTTGGCTGCTGAACTTAACTGCAGCTTGAGTTAAGTTGTAAAATGTCATTATATTGGATTCCCCAAATCACAAGTATGATCTAGTGTCATGCACAACTATTCAGTCTTTGACTAACTACTTTGTTTTATGGCTGAATTGCTGATGCTTATTGGTGATTTATATATAAAGAATAATCTCTTAATTAAGTCAAAGCTACAAAAGTCAAAGAGCGGAGTTGCTATTGACCTCAGTACCATTCACCTGTATTTGTTCCAACAAAATGTTTTTCAAGATTTGCGGACAGATCAACCATGTCTCCGTGATGTCATGATGTTTCTCATAAGGAAACGTGTGTGATGGTGATAAACATCTGGACTGGGATCTGCTGCAGCACACTGCTCAACCTTTGGTTTCTTAAGGCCTTCTTCTGATTGTTAAAAGAAAATCTGAGGACCACCTTCACAATCAAGAAATAAACTGCTGTAAATATGTGTTATGTCACTATATAGCTGTGATGGCCATAATACATATTCTGCTTACCCTCACCATCACTGCCTGCCATGAGTCCATATTTAATACATTCAGGGTCATATTTCCTCACCGCACCCTTAGGAGTGTTTACTGGTGCACCATTGACTCCCCCATCACTTTCCCTTTCTAAAACCGACCCACTTTGTGTCACTGTATCCAAGAGAACGTTAGCTAGCTAACAGCGGCAAAACACGTCTGTCTGTATCTGAGAAATTAACAATCATTATTTTCTTTTTATTTCTAACCATTTGGCAGTACCTCTGGGGCCCACTAGATGGCTCTCTGAGGACCAGCAGTGGGCCCTGCCCCAGTGGTTGAGAATAGCTGTTTATGGATCGGCGGGTCTAGATAATGGATGGAAGGACTGTATGAGTCCTCTGAAACATTTCTGAGGTAGAGATTATCATACTCTGACATAATAACTATACAGATGCTTGGCGTAGCCTATAAATGCTTCAAAATAATATGCAAATAGTATATATTGGAAGACAAAATGTCTCAATGTAAACGGTGTGCCTGAAGGCCTCTACACACCAGCTTGGCGAGTAAATGACACCACAATGCCAAATACTCACCTGTGAATAATATGTCTGGGACTTTTATTGTGAAAAGAGAGGAAGAAGTGGATTTGGTCTGTGCTGCCTTTATAAGTTCAAAGAAATAATAAAGTTTGCCGTCTTACTCCAGACTACAGAGCCTTTGTCTTATAATTATCATAAATATACATATGCACAACGTGATTGTTTGATGCCGTTGTTCACAGTGCAAAAGCTCAGAAAAACTCTCTCCTCCTAATGTTTAATCAATGCTGTTTCTGGCGCTGTGATATATGGTTAATCAATATTGTTAGAGCTGCAATAATGAATCCGTTATGAAGCGATCAACAAGAGAGAAATAAACACTGGATGGAATTTTTAAAGGGTGTAATAAAATGTCTATTCTTACTAGAGACTAACCCTGCCAACATTACTGAAGTGCACTGAATATTTAAAAAGATAATCTCAGCATGTCTTCAGGCTGACTGTACATCATTCCGGTCTATAACATTGATCCACTTACAAGAAGTGACCTATTCCGGAGTCATACTCCTCGTGACCTTTGACCCCTGAGCCCCTCCCTGCAAACCCTCTTTACCGTCATCGTCACTCTGAGAGGTTTCCCACACACCCCTCCTCCACCAGCTCCATCCTGCTGCGTCTCAAACCACGAGAAGCATCACCATCCCTTGATCTTCTCCTCTGGTTGATCAGTATGATCTGCAGCTTTGTAGGCCAAAAGATCTGATTCTATAATACATGATAAATGTGGTGATACTCCAACTAAAACCCCATGTGCAGACTTAAACCAATGTTAATGGTCTTGTAACCTGGTTCAATGCTCAATGTGGATCTGTGATATTACAGGTCCCTATGTCAACCAGTCGTTTTCTCCAGCTAACTCTTGCCTCCGTGGATCAATGACAACATTCGTCAGCTGAAAAGGAAATCTACAGGTGTTTAGCGTAGATGGAAGAGATCAAACCTTAGGGTCCTTCTCCTTCATCTGAAAGAATTGCTGTCCATGCTCCAACAGAAACGACAAAGAGGTGAGAGCTGCCTACTTTGCAGGCCCAGCTAGTGACAACAAACACGATCCTAGGTCCCTGTTTATTTATCTAACGCCAATGGCTTCTGCCCAAGCAGCAAAATATGATGACGAGTAGGGAGGACTCCATGTTGTCTATTTTCATGACAATGTTTTTGTGTCATTGTTTTGGGAGATATTTCCTTTGTGAGTTGGTAGAACACCAGGATGTTCTCAACAAAAGCATCACTTTAAATCTTGTGTTTATCACAGATGTGCTCATATGTATCTTGGAAATAAGTCAATCAGCATGAAAAAAGCTTCGACCAAAGAAATCTTAGTTGACTGAGACCAAAACCACAGATTAGTCGAGGAATGGACTAGGAGGCAGCAGCCGTAGACGCAACCGTGTAAGATGCAGTTGGGAAACTTTACAGGTATGTAGTTGAGTGATCTGATTGAAAGATGGTCTCTAGCTTTACCAATGCTACTGTTTCTTCTGATCCATCAGTCTATTGTCCTGCTGCCTGCTACTGCTGGAAACAAAGACGAGAGACTGGGGGGTGAACCAAACCAGTAGAGTTTTAGGACTTAAAAATAGAAAAAAAAAACAGGTAAATTACAGAGGTGTCGATAATTCCGTGAGTTCATCACTACCAGTGACACCTTTCACACTACATGTTTGTTATTCGACCCATTGTTGATACAACAATATGAGTAAGTGTAGCTTTAAATCCAGTGGTGGGCCGTCAGGGCCTGCAAGGCCTTCTCTGCTGGCCTAAACAGAATCACAAAGCTATATCTATTTTATAATTTAATAATTTTTCTTAAATACACTATATGTATTATAATTTATAAAAATATTTTTCCCATTATCTTATTATCTCATTGCACAGCTACTGTCTTCCTCAGTGGCTCTGCTTCCAGTGCAGCTTGTTTTAAGTAGAGCTTTTATCCAAACAGATTTCACCTCTGTGTCTCTAGGTAAGAACAGAGGCAGAGGCCTGCAGACTCACAAGTGAATCCATGTGCAGTTTAAGTGAATGGGGACGATATTGTTGATTGTCATATTCTTCAACCAATCAGATCTTTAGTTTGACATGTTGGGCGTATTCTTTGACGTGTCAGAGCCTGCTAGCTGGCCTACAAGTACGTGATTGGTCAGTGGGCTAGCCTGACATGTTGGGCGTGACAATCCCAAAATCTGCTGCCTCTGTCGAGCAGACATTTTCAGCCTCAAACGCATTAAAACGTATTCAAGAAATACAACTGGGGAGGCTCGACTATCTTCACTGGCGTCCATGAATCGAGAAGGACTTCTTACTGGAACTAAAACACACGGATGTACTGAACAACCGTCAGATTAAACTCTTTATTAACAAAGAAAGGAGGATGCACTTTGTCTTTAAATAGTGAACAGCAGCTCTGGTAAGTTAAATGTGTTTGTTTTTACATCTGCAGTAGCTTTAATATGTTTGTTTATATATTATTATTTGTACATCTTGTTTTTATGAAGATGGATTTTTGTTTGGTTTAATATGTGATAGGAACCATTGTTACGTCCAATGTTGCACTGGGGACATATTTAGCAGGTGCCAGTGTTGGCAACTTGGCGACTTTCTCGCTAAATCTGGCGACTTTCCAAACCCTCATGGCGACTTTTTTTTGTCAAAAGCTACTAGTGACAAATCGAGCGACTTGTTCTGGTGTTGTTGGAGACTTTTGTGGTCTTTTGACGTTAAAGCACGTACGTTCTGCACTGTCGTGAACGAGCAGCGGGTGCTACCGTGAGCCCCTCCGCCGCCGCCCACAGAAGCCTCGTGCAGCAGTCCCAGCTGCAGTCAGAGCAAAGAGGAGACGCACTCTCGGCAGATAGTGTATCTACTATAGGTGTTTGCTTCATTTTTACACGAAAAAAATAATAACCGTAGCTGTGTTTCAGCTGCAGGACAGCAGTGAAGGCCCAGGTATAAAATGCACGGCCCGCCACTGTTTAAATCACCTTTAATGTTAGATACTGTTTAGAAGATGCTTTAAAAAGAAAAAAAAAGGTTCATTCCCTTAACTTCAGCTGTGGGCTTTCTTTTATGTTTTAATCCTTGAAATGAGTGACCTTGACTTTCTGTAGTTAATTTGTGCCTTCAGAAATCACACTGATAAACTACACAGCACAGAAACATTGTCACCATCTCACCCAACTCAAATCATTTTAAGACAGCAATTCATATAATTCATAACACATTTCATATCTGATAGTCTGTGCATATCTGCATCATGTCAGATAAATTATCTATCTGAGCATCACACACCCACAAAGCGCACACCCTTACACACACACACACACACGCACACACACACACACACACACACACACACACACACACGTCCCACTGACTGCCCATTGTTTACATAGATTTGTGCACTGCACCATACAGGGTACACACACACACACGCCCAGCCCATTTTCTCTCTCTCGCTCTCTCTCTCTCTCTCTCTCTCTCTCTCTCTCTCTCTCTCTCTCTCCCTCCTCCTCCTTCATCCTCTCTCTCCTCCTCCACATTCTCTCCTTGCCTGCA